CACCAGGACCAGATGGTATTCACCCAAGAGTTCTGAAGGAACTCAAATGTGAAATTGAAGAACTACTAACTGTGGTTTGTAACCTATCATTTAAATCTGCTTCTGTACCAAATGACTGGAGGATAGCTAATGTGATGCCAACTTTTGAAAAGGGCTCCAGAGGTGATCCTGGCAGTTACAGGCTGGTAAGCCTAACTTCAGTACCGGGCAAACTGGTTGAAACTATAGTAAAGAACAGAATTGTCAGACACATAGATGAACGTAATTTGTTGGGGAAGATTCAGCATGGTTTTTGACGATGCATGATTTTCCTTTACAGTCTACTAGAATTCTTTGAGGGGGGTCAACAAGTATGTGGACAAGGGAATTCCAGTGGATATAAAAAGAAAAGGAGTACTGGTGGCACCTTAGAGACTAATCAATTTATTTGAGCATGAGCTTTCGTGAGCTACAGCTCACTTCATCAGATGTAGCTCACGAAAGCTCATGCTCAAATAAATTGGTTAGTCTCTAAGGTGCCACCAGTACTTTTCTTTTTGGCACCATACAGACTAACACGGCTGTTCCTCTGAAACCAGTGGATATAGTGTGCTTAGATTTTCCGAAAGCCTTTGACGAGGTCCCTCACCAAAGGCTCTTAAGCAAAATAAGCCGTCATGGGGTAAGCAGGAAGGTCCTCTCATGGATCAGTAACTGGTTTAAAGATAGGAAACAAAGGGTAGGAATAAATGGTCCATTCTCAGAATGGAGAGGGGTAAATAGTTATGCCCCCCAGGGATCTGTACTGGGACCATTGTTGTTCAACATATTCATAAATGATCTGGGAAAAGGGGTAAACAGTGAGGTGGCAAAATTTGCAGATGATACAAAACTACTCAAGATAGTGAAGTCCAAAGCAGACTGAAGAGTTACAAAGGGATCTCTCAAAACTGGGTGACTGGACAACAAAATGGCAGATGAAATTTAATGTTGATAAATGCAAAGTAATGCACGTTGGAAAACATAATCCCAGCTATACATATAAAATCATGGGGTCTAAATTAGCTGTTACCACGCAAGAGAGAGATCTTGGACTCATTGTGGATAGGTTTCAGAGGAACAGCCGTGTTAGTCTGTATTCGCAAAAAGAAAAGGAGTACTTGTGGCACCTTAGAGACTAACCAATTTATTTGAGCATCCTTAGAGACTAACCAATTTATTTGAGCTCAAATTGGTTAGTCTCTAAGGTGCCACAAGTACTCCTTTTCTCATTGTGGATAGTTCTCTGAAAACATCCACTCAATGTGCAGGGGCAGTCAAAAGCTAAAAGACTGTCAGGAATCATTAAGAAAGGGATGGATAATAACACAGAAAATATCACACTGCCTCTATATAAATCCATGGTACACTCTCATCTTGAATACTGCATGCAGATGTGGTTGCCCCATCTCAAAAAAGATATATGGGAATTGGAAAAGGTTCAGAAAAGGGCAACAAAAATAATCAGGGGTATGGAACAGTTTCCGTATGAGGCGAGATTAATAAATTTGGGACTTTTAATCTTGGAAAAGAGACAACGAAGCAGGAATATGATAGAGGTCTATAAAATCTGTGACTGGTGTGGAGAAAGTAAATAAGGAAGTGTTATTTACTCCTTCTCATAACACAATAACTAGGGGTCACCAGATGAAATTAATAGGCAGTAGGTTTAAAACAAACAAAAGGAAGTATTTCTTCACACAACACACAATCAACCTGTGGAACTCTTTGCCAGAGGATGTTGTGAAGGCCAAGACTTTAATAGGGTTCAAAAAAGAACTAGATAAATTCATGGAGGATAGGTCCATCAATGGCTATTAGCCAGGATGGGCAAGGATGGGGTCCCTAGCGTCTGTTTGCCAGAAGCTGGGAATGGGCAATGGGATGGATCACTTGATTACCTGTTCTGTTTATTCCCTCTGGAGCACCTGGCATTGGCCACTGTCGGAAGACAGGATACTGGGCTAGATGGACTGTTGGTCTGACCCAGTATGGCCGTTCTTATGAAAATACTGATTAAGAAAATCCAGTCCATTACCTTAGGTAGCTGTGTTTTGTTAATAATCACTTAGTCTAAGTGTAAATGCAAGGCTGTCTGTGAAAGCAAGACAATAGTAGAAAATGTATATACCTACACACGTGTGTGCATATGTGTACGTACTGTTTAATGTACAGTTCATGCAATAAACATCATTAAACGTCTTTTTACTTTCAGTACACTTACATTTTCTCTTTGTTGCTTTTTTTCTGTCATCCCGTCCCCCTCTATCAAACCCGATAAAACTGGGGTGATGATTTTTTGCACCAATTGTTTCATCCATTTCAAAATTTTTAAATGGAAACATTGATAAATTCCCAGATAATTTAAACAAAAATGTAGGGCCTTGTTTATGGCACATCTGGCAGTTTAGACACCTGGAACTACATCATTTAGATGTGCTGCATTCCTTAGTGGCCAGACTGTATCTGGCCCCTGCTATGGTATGTAAAGAAAAAAAGAAGCTTTCTTCCCTCCATCCCCCATATTCTGTCTCCTGCAAGTAGGCCAACTGCAGTTGCAATCACTGGGCATGTCCAGAGTGGGGAAAATAGGTGGTTCTAATCTAGATGACCCTCGAATGTAGAGATTGCTTCTTGTATAAGCTTTGCATTGGGCATAAAGGTTGTGTGTACTTAGTTTATGACTGGGATTTTTCTTCAGTGCATATGTTTTTGTGTGTTAGGCTGCAATATCAACAAGAAACATTTGTATTACTTTTTTGGTATTTGTATCTCTTTTCTGTACTTCTGCTTTATTAAAAGAGGAAATAAAATGCAAATCTTTAGCAGGACATTAATTACCATGAGCAGCAAGAGAGATGGGCAGTGTAGCGAATTGCTGGGAACGAGCTGAAGGAAGGATATAACAGTAATTCTCCCTATCACTGCTGTGAGGATGTTTTGTGGCTGGCGGGGGGACAGGACAATATATGTAGTGGTTTGGGCAGGCAGAGGTGTTTTGAGTTTGGGGGGAAGACAGAAAATGTAAAAGAAGAGGGTAAAGAACACTGTGGAGAAAGAGAAGGAAATGACAGACTCCGACAACAACATAGGAAAAAGATTCACAATTATCTTTTATTAAGAGGGAAAAATGGGAAGTAACCAGGAAGGGACTGGTGGTGTAACAAAAACGAGAGAGATGTTCAGTTACAAATTCTGAAAATGTATTAAATAGTTGACAGTATTACAATTAACTACTGTACCCCGGAAACTGTATCCAGCTGTCGTATTCCTTAAATCACTAGTTCTCAAACCAGGGGTCCGTGAACCCCTAGGGGTATGCAGGGGTCTTCCAGGGGGTACATCAACTCATCTAGATATTTGCCTTGTTTTACAACAGGCTACATTAAAAAGCACGATCAAAGTCAATACAAACTAAAATGTCACACAGACAATGACTTGTTTATATTGCTCTATATACTGTACACTGAAACATAAGTACTGTACAATATTTATATTCCGGTTGATTTATTTTATAATTATATGGCCAAAATGAGAGACTAAGCAATTTTTTTCAGTAATGGTGTACTGTGACACTTTTGTATTTTTATGTCTGATTTTGTAACCATGTAGTTTTTAAATGAGGTGAAACTTGGGGGGTGGTACACAAAACAAATCAGACTCCTGAAAGGGTTACAGTAGTCTGAAAAGGTTGAGAGCCACTGCCTTAAATTGCAGGAGGTAGGGCATTTTAGAGGCATGTTGGTATACATGTTTTCGCCATGGCTAGTAGGCTTGTTAGATGGGTATATTTTTCAAGTACTGTCAAAAACTACTTTATCAATACATTAGCTGCATTCTCGTCTCTGGGAACGACAGATCACTGGTTTGGGGTGTTGTAATGAACTCAAAAATTGTTAAATGACCTGAAAATACCTGTGAGTGGCATGTGAGAATGGTTACCGAATGTGGGACTAACCTTTGATGATCACTTACTATTGAAAGTGTGGTGTGTAGTTAACTGCTAGGTCAGCGTATAACAAGACCTATGCTGTGCACTGCTTCTCAGTTTTTAATGTCTGACTTCTGATTAGACGTACAAATCTGGTTGTCAGTATTCTACCTGGAAATATGCTTAACTAGACTATGTTGGTTACTGAAAGTTACTTTCTGATGGACATCTGGGTTAGCGTACACCAGGTATGCATTTGATCATCCTTATAAAGTGTATACTCTGGGGACTAATTTTGTTAGCATGGCCACGTACTCTGCATAATCTATGTTTCATAATTCTGCAGAACTGTGCTTTATAATCCAATCTTTGTTTCTTTAAAAAAGAAAATCTTAGATCCTGTGATTGTGAAAGAAACCTTCCAAATTTAAACAGTGCACTGATATTTTCCTGAGCCTGTAGCCAGCTTGAAATGGTAGTTTTGAGAGATGTGAGCTGCCCCATTTATCTGTCTTTTTAAACTTTGAAACTTAGTGTTGACCAGTTAGATGTCAGTGTTAAGTGTTCCAGTAATGATTCATTTTAGCAAAAACATTCAGGTAGCGTGATTATCGTACAGCTTGAAACTACTGTACCTTCCTTGCATTCAAGTACCAAAAGCTTCCACCACCTTCTACCCAGCTTCCATCTTCTCGTCTTACAGCTTCCTCAGTGCAACACAGTTCTGTGGCGTGTTGATGAGTGAATTTAAGGCAGGCAACATACAATAATTTTAAATCTCTTGCTACAATCAGTGCAGTTTTGTTGTTTGTTCAGGTTCAAATTTAAACCAGTAAAAGAGTATATTTTTATGTTTACCTGAAGTGGTTGGGGAATTTCTAGTCTGCTACTTTGAACTGCCACAGTTAACTGTTGCTACAGAACTATTTAGGCAAACCTTGCCAAAGAGTACACAGAGCCCTGATTGTAACTTTATTCCTAACCAGATAGTCACTATTGACTTCACTGGTCTGTATCGGGAATGACAGACTTCTGACTTCCTTCTCTGTAGGCCCAGATTACTCCTCTGCGGGATGGTTATCTGGTACTGAATCACTGTGGCAGACCACAACCATTCCATCGAGCAGCCGAAGTAACCATATCAGAAGACACAGTATAGCTTCTGACAGCGGGGACACAGGCATTGGTACCTCCTGTTCTGATAGTGTGGAAGGTGAGTGAAGATTTCTTAAATTCTGAAGTTAATCAGTCTTGGTGAGAGAAAAAGAGATGAACTAAGAAGTTTTAAAGGCCAAATGTGTCTTAAAATACTTATGTTTCCAATATTGTTAAAGAACATTGCCAATTTTTATGATGGGTTGAGAAATTGGTTTGGTTAGATCTGATTAATTTGCATTGTATGGGCCTTAACTTCTCTGTATCACAAGGTTGTCTTCTGTTGCGTGGGAGTAAAGATAGATAGATAGATAAGTCACAGGACTAGGAAAAAGATGGAGAAAGGTCTCATGTCTTTTTTTGCCTTCTGTTCAGGGGAATACAAATTGTATTTTAATATGGGGCATCTCATGAACTGGCAAAATTCATTAAGATTATCCAAAAATATCTAGAGAGGGATAAAACTAAGTTTGGGCCATATCATATCCCCAAGATTCCTCGAACTTGCTGCCATCACAGAAGATGTATAAGGGGTTTAGCCACTACAACAGTAGTATCCCTATTGCCCCTGCATGGAGGGCTCTCCCTGGAGTTCGGAATTGCACTGGGGCAGCGAATGGGACAAGAATGGGTTAAGCCTGTGTTGAGCAGTGATAGGCCACAGGGATGCATGGTCCCCTTACCCTAGAAAACCCTGCTGGAGGAAAGGTAATAGAGGTTGGGGCTATGTTACTTTTTTTCTGCAGGGCCTTTCTGTGCTTGGATCTCTTTAAAAGGAATCCTGGGACCACTGCAGCCCGGGAGAAGGGAGATAGCATGGGAGCCCTTAAACCAATATAGAGGCATGGGTCTCTGTATGACTGCTCCTGGCCTCCTGAAGATGGCCTTGGATCCGCAGGGTTTGAGGCTGTAATGCCTCATTGCAAAGGGGGGCAGTCCTTTCTTACCCATCCCGCCACCCCGCATGCTGATTTGAAGAGGAGCTCTGGAAAGGAATTCTCTCCATCTCCTTATTCCCTTCCTGTGGGTTTAGCTGTAAGAAAGGGTAGTCTGGTGCTATATTAAGAGACTCGGAGGTGTTAACTACTGTACAAAGAAGACATGTTTTCTGTTGGCTAATTGCGATGGATTTGTACTCTGATCAGTGTGCGTTCTTAACTCTTTGTGTCAGAGCTTGTTGGAGAAATCCTCTGTAATAATTGGGCCTATGTATTTACCCTAATTGTCAGCTCAACTGTAAAAAGTAAGTAAAAGTTTCTAAAAGGTCACAACTATTAATGGGGGAAAGCTTCAAAAGAGACAAAGATTAAATTAGTCAAAATAAAAAGGCCAATTAATATAATTCAAGAACTGTGTAAAAATTCTGCTTGGTAAGCAAGACAGTGTAAAACCCAAAATCAATAAACCAAAATTGGCTCGTTTAAAAACTAGGCCTAATTTGTAAACCAAATAATAAAAGGATTAGCTATTTTACCCATCATTCCCTTTTGAGTTCCTTAAAGAGAGATTGTTTTGGGGCGAAAAATTGGAATGAGCTTCACCATTATGGTTGCTGCTACTCCCTGCGTCTCCAGGGACCCCAAGCATTTGTCATCTTGATACTAGGAGATGTCCTGACCAGAGAGGGACCCAAATGACATCTCCACCTATGCCAGCTCTGCAATGTCCCAAACGCCTCCTGGGATGTGAGACTTTGAATCTCTGTTACCCATCTGAGTGTGTCCTTTTCCTTCCCCACCTTATTTCTTCTTTTTTCTATCCCTCACCTTTTTCCTTTTGTCTAATAACAGTCCAGCTTAGCCAGGCAAGACTATATTTTGCAACACTACTATAAGTCTGTGACTAGGAAAAGACAACTGAAAGCAATACCCTAAATAGCCCAAAGCTGGTACAAGTTTTCCAGGTCTCAGAATGGCTTATAAGACTGTGTGCTGTGCTTGCGTTTCTCCAGCACTGAGGTTGCAATTAAAGTAAGCACCAGAGACAGAAGCTGCATTTTCTCTATTTTTCTTTTCTCTCCCTTTTTGTGGGGGTTTTTGTCTTGTCTTCTAAAAAACAAAATCCAAGTCTCACAACACCAGTAATGCAAGCTCCAGCTGATCTACTAATTTCTCCCCCCCCCACCCCAAAAATTATCATTTTTGGTACCCTCTAAAAATCTGTCAGACAAGGGTGGAGGGTTTCTTCTAAAAACTCACTGTAGCTTAAAACAAACAAGCCTTATGGAATACTTTGACATTTCAAATGCTTTAACTGTTCTCCTCCCCCCCCCTTTTCTGTATTTTTTTGATAAAAGGTTAAAGTAATGTTTAATGGTGTGTTTGCCATGGTACTAAGCAAGCTAAGGTCTCTGTATACCAAACCCCGAACCTTGTTTAGCACTGTTTAAGCGCAAACAGTAATAGGGTCTTGTTAACTCCTTTAACCTTTGAGCCTATATATTCCATCTAAATTAATACACTTCCTTTCTTATTTTTCCAAATACTTATTTATAAAATATGGTAGGGTTTATGTAAAACAGATTATTCATTAGCTAGTCTATGAAGAAATATAGTTCAGAAAAAAATTCAGTAACCTAGATGATAGTTCTGCAGTACAGGGATTTTATTTGATTTTTTTAATTTGCCTTTTCAAACCTTCTTTATTGATTCTTGCAAATGTAATTGCTGTAATACTGAAATAATGCTTAGTTATGCTTCTAGGTTCTAGCCACACCCCTTACTCAGGCAAAGCTCCCATGAAATTCTGTGGGATCCTTGCCTGAGTAAAATGTGTGGATAGAGTCCAGAAGTATTACTGGCCCATAAGACCAGAAGAAAAGGTATTGTGTATGCTTGAAAGCTTGTCTCTCTCATCAATAGAAGTTGGTCTAGTAAAAGGTATTACCTGACCTGCCTTAGCCTGTAATTTTGCTTTCTGATCCACCCATTGGATTTCTCTTTGCTTATACACAGATACAGGCATTACAGAATAGTGAGTCAAGATCCAGGCTTGGATAAAAGCACTTTTTTCTTCTTGTTGGCTTCCCCATTTGAGGGGCAGGTGAGAAAGAGGGGGGATGAAAAAGCAACTACTGTAAAACTTGATTTAAGGGGTATTATCACTTTAAGAGCTACCTTATATCTCTCTGGTTTTGACATACTGTTACAAGAAACATCTATTATTTTCAGTTACAGCAATCACCTAACATCTCTCTATTTTTTCAGTTTGTATATTTTGTGCATTTGGTGGTGATTTTCATACAGTCAGTTTCACTGTTTCCCTTAGTTCCCTGGCTTGTTAGCTGTTTGAAAACTTGCATGACAGTGCAGAGGAAAACAGGAAAAATGTGGTTGTAAAATACAAGTTGGCAGGAGGACTGAGGGGATAAGTAGTACCTGAACTTACTTCTTTGTAACTGACTAAATTTAAAGTTGATTGTGGGTTTTTTTCAGGAACAAATTAGAATAGCTGATGCAATTTTGATAAGCTTGCCAGGGCCGGCTTGTAGTTAGACTCTCTATTATAGCCATCTGTTTTCAATGTGGGTGCTAGGGAAATAGCCCTTAGGGAACAGACTCAGCAGAAAAGATTATTGTCTTTGGACAACTCAGCAAATCATTATAACATCTAGCAATTCAAGAAGACTGAAACGTGAGTGTGTTACCTCGCTTTTTCTGAAGCTACTAACAATCTATTCTTAACTTTAGAATTACAAAAATGCATTTTGTTAATGTTAACAATATCCTTGAATTTTTTATAAATAAAAGATTTGTTCAGAGCTGTAGTTATTAATAAATGCAGTAATATGTTTGTCTGATGCAAAGACTGAAATTCAAGTCAGTTTTTTTTAAAGAAGATCTGTTTTTCTCTTTCGCTATTACATTTTAATAATTTCTTTAAAAGGTGGTAAAATTAAATTTTAAATATTTATTTAAACTATTTCAGGAGCATTCTTCTTTCATTCTGGAATTGTAGAGTTTAAAGGGATAGTCCCAAGTAATTTTTTTTAGACTCAGAATTAATTTCAGATTTGGGGCAGAAAGAGTTTTTATAATGCCCAAGAGGAAGAGAAAATATCACTTAATGTGTAGTTGTCCTCCTGCAGGATTGGGAGCCCAATCATAGTATTGTGCTAGTATAGACTAGGTCAGTTTCATTTCCTGGTTTTCCTAGTTTCATTGTTCACGTTGAGCAAAGTGTGTATAGGGGAAAGTGAAGACTCTTATGTGTTGAAAAGCTAACAGGATTTTAAATCCATTCTGCGATAATCATCTGATATTAGTAAAGATTTGTATTAACTGTATTTATCGTCACTCAGAGTATCCTTTTAATCTTTCTGCCAACAAGCGGTGATGGACATGAACTTGTTCGCTGATTCAAATCCTTGTTCACAAGTTTTTTTTTTTTTTTTTTTTTTTAACCAAATGTACATTGTGGCTAAATTCTTAATAATATTTCTACTTGGAGCAGGAGAAAAAATTCCAGAGGTGGGTGCCCCATCACCTGTGAGTTGAATAATATGCGTCTGATGAAGTGAGCTGTAGCTCACGAAAGCTTATGCTCTAATAAATTTGTTAGTATCTAAGGTGCCACAAGTACTCCTGTTCTTTTTGCGGATACAGACTAACATGGCTGCTACTCTGAAACCAATAAAACATATGTCTGGCTTTATTTTAAAAAAAATAGCTATCCCTCCTGACTTTATATAGTAGCTAACTCTCCAGCAAAGATTTGTGTGAGCTTATTAACGAGAAACCTTTTTTTCTCATGGAATGATTTTCTTTGGAGTTAGGGTGACCCGATAGCAAGTGTAAAAAATGGGGTCAGGGAGCCAAGGGGGGTGGTGGGGGGCAATAGGTGCCTATATAAGAAAAAGCTCCCAAAATCGGGACTGTCCCTATAAAATTGGGACATCTGGTCACCCTATTTAGAGTTCATGTACTTTCTGAAAAGGGCGGGAGGGGATTTTAGGATATTCTTCTTTATAAGCAGATTGATAGAGCCAGAAGAGTTCCCAGAAGTTACCTATTACAGGACAGGCCTAACAAAGAAAATAACAGAACGCCACTAGCCGTC